GAAAAGGGAGAGTGGAAGTCAAATCTTGGGATGGTCAGTGTGCGTATGCTTTATAGTCACATGAGGCCACAGCATCAGTGAGAGTCAGAATATTGTCAAACAAGAAGAAATTGAGCATTGGTGTCTTGTTGAAAAGGAGGAGGCAGGCATTAAGGTCAACTTGCAGGGTGCTGCAGAAAGGGAGCAGTTTACTCGTCAGTCTACTGGATATATACTCCAACCTTGACCTCGCCATAGTCGTAGACATGTAGTAGCATGTCTGAGGTCATCCTAATGGTCAAGACAGAGCTCAGATATTCAAAAGGAGCTTGCAGTAAAATTGGTAGTCCTGCACTTTATAAAGAGTCATCTAAGTTGTTTCAATATCTCATCTGACCAAGGTTTCTCCTACCAAGACAGTCACATCTCTGTGGCAGTATTCCAGGCAAAGAAAGAAAAAAGCTAGAAGAACACCCCTTTCATACGCTCCTGCCCTGAACAAGATGATGGAATTTTAAAGCCTGTGAGCACCTCAGAACCCCTATGAATAGTATTATGACTGGGAATAAAGTTTGTTGCCACAATGACTGTGATTCAAACTGAGTGGATGCAGTGACCCAGGGGTATTCAGCCATGTGCCATCAGTACACTGCAGCAGCTAATATGAATGACCTCCAGTCAGAGAGATACAATCTAGTGAAAACTGCTGTTTTTAAGAAAGTGCACATTCTTAACGAAGTTTAAAAAGAACTGCCTTATTAAAATGACCTGAGCCTGTTTATTAATAAAACCATTGCTTGATACACTTAGCCACCTAAGTTGAACAACCCTCAGTTGTCTGTTAGCATCTCTGCAAATACTGTTTAGAAACAACAGGAGCAAACAAGACCACTAAACAGTTTGAGGACAGACTGTGAAGACGTTATCATCGCACAGCTAACAGTGTCAACAGGACAGTCTAGGCTACATGTAGTCCCCATGCCTGTAATGAGTCTCTACCAAAACACATCGACAAGCTGGACTATCTTAGCCTCAGTTACATAGCTCGAACATTCATTTAGAATGCTTGCACCGCTAGCAACTAGCGGACCCATACGGCTGACAATTGTGACAACTGTCAGGTCAACACAATAGAGCTATTGGCTAAAGCTAAAGTTATATTGGTAGATGGGACCCCGCAGCTAACTTAGCTAGCTAGCACTAGCTGATAAAACTCCCCTGTAGTGTTCGAGCGACACAAATGAAACCCTGAAATAGAATTGTCAGATTTCAATGAGACATAGTTTTCAAGCAGCCACAGTTACGAACCGAACAGTTGAGCGCTGACAGTCTCCTTGGTTCTGGACTTGTGTGGTGGTCTGAAGAGCTCTCCACAAAACACCGTCAAAACACAAACAGACTAGATTTGCGGAACTGTGTTGTGTAACAAGGAGCCAATCAGAAGACAGAACCGTTGTCGCCGACCCAATCAGACAGCGGTAGGGGCGGGACTAATGGCTTCGTCACCGATTACAAAAAAGGCATTTACAAATGATATCTGTCCCATATGTTCACAGTGATGAGCCTTTACTGGGGTTATAAGAGGAGACTGTGAGTTCTTCTGGTTAAAAATACTCAGTAATGTAGAACACTGAGCATGCAGAACACGAACCCACCTATTACCGGGTGGTCCGAGGTCACTTTTCACAGATATCCTCAAATGCAAAGTCTTGAAAAAGTACAATTTGAAATTTTGGAACTTCAAAGTGATCAATAAAACATCAATATCAATATTTTTTGCAATATAGCTACTTACTACACTTCTTTTAATTTACTGTGCAATATTTCATTACTATTGCATTAGTATTTTATTGCTAAAGTATCATTTCCAGTATTATTTCTTTCATTTCTGGCTTTAATTAAGCTCATTTGCTATTTTTTTGCTTATGTATCATATTATCTTAATGCTATGTTATTAGACACTGCATTTATTCTCATGTTATAATAACTTAAGGAAAGTCTAATTTCCTGAGGGATTAATGATGTTCTATGTCATCTTACCTTGTTTTTATTATGTAATAATAATTCTACCAAATTATTTTTAGACCAGAAATTGCTTGATTTGGTATATATATATATTTTAGCACAGTATCAATTGTGCAAATATAATAAATAACAATGTTCTCAGTGTACACAGTCCAAAGACATGCGTGTAGGTTGGTGACTCTGTGAGTGACACTACTTTCTGCCTCTTCCTTTCTGGTTGTTGGTGGAGCCACACAGCATTTCCTTCTTCAAGTTGTAATGGAGGGCTGTTTTGCTGATTCCAAGCAAGTTAGCAATCTCTCTCTCGCTTTATCCTTCTTTGATAAGCACCAATATGGCTGTCATCCTGTCATTTCGCAGTTGTGTTTTATTTTTGTTTTTCAGGCATTGCAATACGATAGTTTAATTTTAAATACATATTAGCACTTTATATACACAGCTTATGCACAAGACAATAGTGCATAGAAAATATATTTTCAGCAATCTAGTGTGAATTTAAAAATGCTAACAAGTTTTTTAAAAAAAAGTAACTTTTAAATATAATTTATTGCATGCATTGTATTGTAGTGACTTTTTTTTTCAAACATGTCTTTTAGAATATGCTGTTATTACTTAATTACAATTACTTTATTACAAGCGCTATGAGATGACTTGTTGTTGTAAATATGCACTATACAAATAAAATTGAATTGAATTGAATTCTAAAATTCTAACGAAATGATCATGTTGAAGGCCTGTTGTGTAGGCTCCAGCAGCTCTCTACAGGAAAAGCTGGTATAGCTGGTGGATAGATAATAACAAGGTCATATTCAGACACAGCAAAAAAGGCAAAAGCCATAATCAGATTTAATTATCACAACAAAGTCAGATTTTAGAAGCCTAATATCTACACTTAGCCTTGTAATTTGTGGCTTGATAGTGAAAACCACAATATAATTCAGTATGGAAATGTAAAGGTTGATGACACTGTTGAGTTTCTTACAGTTTCAAATATCTAGGTTTAAAATGACAAATTCACTGACTACATTCCATATGTTCTTATTGTTTCAAATTCTCATATGGGCATTTGAAGAAAATAAATGCACATTGTGTGTTACTGGTGATGGTATCACAGTTGTGAATGGAGATAAATGTAGTTGAAATATTGATTAGGTAACAGGAAGAGCATTATTAACAACAACAACAACAAAAAATCCTGAAAGTTAATATATTAGAAAAAAAGAAAGAAAGAACAAACTTCACAAAAATGGATTCTGTGTTGTTTACTTCAATTTATTTTAATTCAATTTTATGTAAATATCGCCAATTCTACAATTTCATTTGGCAGACGCTTTTATCCAAAGTGATGTACATCTGACAGTAGATACAACACAAGCACGGATCTAGTCAGGAAAGAACAACCTGGATAAGTTCAAGTGTGACAGGACCTTGGTGACAACAGCAGGCAGTGTGGGAGGTAACAGGAAATGTTTTTGTTTTGTTTTTTTTCTCTTTCCCCCCCCCAATCTGTCAAGTGCAAGGTTCAGTGAAAAGCTAGGTCTTCAGTCTTTTCTTAAAGACTGAGAGGGGCTGTGCAGATAGAACAGAGTTTGGTAACTCGTTCCACCACCGAGGAACCACATTTCACAACATAAGTCCTCTCAGGGCATTTGTTGAGGAAATTTTACCCATATTCATGTGAAGTTTGCCTAGTGGGTGTTTATTAGTATTCCGGTTTACGGTGGGCTCACCAACACAGAGCATGAGTCTGTGAAGGTGAACCGACCCTGAACATCTGCAGAGTCACACATTTATAGGGTAAGTCAGAGGGTAGGGGGGGCTGTATGTAAATACAGAGGTGAATAGAGGTAAATTAACATGCAGTTGCTAATCAAATGACCGGAGGTAAGGGGGGGACAACGAACCACAGGTGGTGGAATCAGGGTTCTGATAGCATACAGTTGCTAATCAAATGGCAGGAGGTAGGGGGACAATGAACAACAGGGGGTGGAATCGGGGGTCTGTGACAGGAGGTGGGAAAACACATGACAAAATTCAGTTATAACTAGTATCAAAAAGCAAATTCAAAAAGCAATGATGAAATAAAAAAGTAGACTTACTTATAAAGATAAAGACAACTTTATTGATCCCACAGTGGGGAAAGTTCACTGTTACAACAGCTCCAAAAAAAAGTGTAGTCAGTGCAAGAATATTTGGGAACACCCAGTGCAAAAAGTAGGAAAGAAACAAACAGAAAACACACAGTGCAAAAATTGCAAGAAAAAAAAATATTATATACAGAAGACTTTTTTTTTTTTTTTTTTTGCAACCAGACNGTTACTGGTGATGGTATCACAGTTGTGAATGGAGATAAATGTAGTTGAAATATTGATTAGGTAACAAGAAGAGCATCATTTACAACAACAACAAAAAATCCTGAAAGTTAATATATTAGAAAAAAAGAAAGAAAGAAAGAAAGAACAGACTTCACAAAAATGGATTCTGTATTGTTTACTTCAATTTATTTTAATTCAATTTTATGTAAATATCGCCAGTTCTACAATTTCATTTGGCAGACGCTTTTATCCAAAGTGATGTACATCTGACAGCAGATACAACACAAGCAAGGATCTAGAACAACCTGGATAAGTTCAAGTGTAACAGGACCTTGATGACAACAGCAGACAGTGTGGGAGGTAATAGGAAATGTTTTTTGTTTTGTTTTGTTTTTTCTCTTTTTCTTTTTTCCCAGTCTGTCAAGTGCAGGGTTCAGTGAAAAGCTAGGTCTTCAGTCTTTTCTTTAAGACTGAGAGGGACTGTGCAGATAGAACAGAGTTTGGTAACTCGTTCCACCACCAAGGAACCACATTTCACAACATAAGTCCTCTCAGGGCACTTGTTGAAGACATTTTACTCATAGTCCTCATGTGAAGTTTGCCGTAGTGGGTGTTTATTAGTATTCCGGTATACGGTGGGCTCACCAACACAGAGCATGAGTCTGTGAAGGTGGACCGACCCTGAACATCTGCAGAGTCACACATTTATAGGGTAAGTCAGAGGGTAGGGGGGGGCCTGTATGTAAATACAGAAGTGAATAGAGGTAAACTAACATACAGTTGCTAATCAAATCATCGGAGGTAAGGGGGGGACAATGAACCACAGGTGGTGGAATCGGAGTCTGGTGACCAGATAGGTGGTGGAGTCGGGGTTCTGATAGGATACAGTTGTTAATCAAATGGCAGGAGATGAACAACAGGGGGTGGAATCGGGGGTCTGTGACAGGAGGTGAGAAAACACATGACAAAAGGTGATGGGAAAACACATGGCAACAGGGGGTGGAATCGGGGGTCTGTGACCATCAAAAGAAAAGAGAATGACTTTCTTAATCATCATCAAATTAAAAGAAAATGACTTTCTTCATCACACTTTACATAGTCAGGTGAAACCCATCCAACCATTATCTTTTCACTGCTGTTTCCTCTGTAGGGTTGAGGGGGGGCTGAGGTCTATATGAGCTGACTCAGGGCCAAGGCAGGGTTCACCCTTGACAGGTCACCAATCACAGGGCTACACTTAGAGACAGACAACTAAGTGCACTCACAGTCACACTACGGACAATTTAGAATCACTTATCAACCCCAGCATCTCTTTGGACTGTGGGAGGAAGCTGGAACACCCAGGGAGAACTTCACACAGAAAGACCCCAGGCATCCTAACCAGAATGCGAAGAACCGGGGATCTTCTGGGTGTGATGGTGCCAACCACCGAGCCACATTGTCTTTATCATTCTTGTTATGTATTTCTATGTCAGAGATTCCAGTTTTTGCTCTTTAATATGTTCTGCATTATAGAATGACATACAGTTTGGCAAATTAAAATTAAGTTAAAATACATTTGTCATTTGGCTTTTTTTCAACTTTCTTTCTTTTTTTTTCTTTTTTTTAAATCTAGCACCAATTCACAACATGTCGTACATATGGGGTGTAGAACAGGACAGCATACGTACAACAGACAAACAATACATAAGAGAACAATAAACACTTTGGAGGTCAGTGAGGTCAGTTACTGCAGATCAGAGGCATGTAGCTCCAGATAAAGAGATACCTGCAGAGAAGGAGAAACACAAACTAGAGAGAAAACAGTTAGTGACATGCAATGGTGAAGTAATTGTATTAATAGAGGAAGCAGCATAACTAAGGAATCCCTAACTATTAAACCTAATGTTAAAGGAAGAGAGGGTGTCTGTCTCCTGAAGCCAAACTGGGAGCCGATTCCATGACTGAGACTGATAACTGAAGGCTCTGCCTCCCATTTTACTTCTGGAAACTGTGGGAAAAAAATTTCTGAGAAGTTCCTGAAGATTTGAACTGAAATTAAATTATGTATTCCTG